TTCCCGGTGGTTTGTAGAATGTCTCTAGGTGAACCAGATTATTGATCGATTAATCTGTACAAGGTCAGACCTACAGGCATGTTTGAGAATGAGAAATACCAAAATAGGAGGATTCCTTCAAAGCATCGCTGGTAAGTTTACCTATTCCAGTAACTTACATAAACTCTTGACCGTGAGGGACGGATTAATTCCATTTGGTTGACCATGGCCAGTCGGGGTCGAGCAGACAGGAGACTGCTGGAACAGACTCAATACAACAGTTATTAATTAAGACCTTTTTGTGACAAAAAGAAACATATGTCACTGCCACATAACTTTAGTGGAAGTTACGCTACGGGATAAACAGTAGAAAGGAATACTTAGGTTCCCCTAAAGTGGAAAGGATATAGATTGATCTGATTAAATGACTGTAGAGAATTCTCCGGACGCACAAACCTGTGGATCCCAACAAGAGCTCATAAATGGAAATATGATCTGAATTAAGATGACGAGAAAAACTAGGAATTCTATGCTAGGGCAATTTTAGTCGAAAAAATGCGTTCCAATTAGCTTGCTGATACGATCAATCTATTCAGTGAATTTGACACGTAATGACCCTAGGAGATGTTTTTTTAAGGCAAACTGTTTCCCACAATTCGCCTTCTTCCTATCGACAGAGAATGAGGGATAAATCATGCTCAACGCACAAGACCACCGTCATCAAATGTCACGTTTTATGGTTGTTGCCGTTTCTCTAGTTTAACAGTGTAGTCGATTAATTCGCCAGAGCGCTTCTAAGGCATAACCGCAGTAGATGTTTGCGGAGAAATCTAAAGTTCCAAAGTTTTATTACAAGAATTACTTACAGGCTCATACTTCTTTCGTCTGCCATGGGATTTTTATCGAGCTTTATCATTTCTAGGTAAAAATTTAGAAAAGGCATATCAAGAGCAAATACCGGGGTTACCAATTCAGTTAATCTCGAATATTTTAAATCAACCCAATTGCTTGGTTCTATTGAATTAACCTCCATAGAAGATATCAATGCAGATGACCCCTAATACCTAAAACAATACAATCAAAAAGGTGATGAGGTGTAGTCGAAAGTAGCAACTTTTTTTATTGCGTGACATGATGCATGACGCACATCGATGTTTAAACCCCGTGTTCACAGAACGACTGCTGTGCAGTGGGGATGCGAGAAAATTTATAGAAGCATCTTAAGAAAAATGTGAAGGGAGCGTGTTCAATAATTCCGCGGTTCTTCGAAAAAATATTTGAACGCCGCCGTTTGATCGGTTTTAGAATCCACCTGGTAAGAATGTTTTGATACTTATGGTCAGGCCTCGTGTGATAACAAATTCTAGGGATCAAATCGGCAAAGTCCGCAGAGCAAACATCGTGGGTTTAAGAGAAGAGAAAACGAGACGGGCACTCGTTGATGGTTGGTGAGCAGTTGTCAAGGATGGGCCCGCGGATTTATGATGAACACGGCTTAAAATTACCAGTCAATTAGAGGGGGCTTCCCCCGGGACATGGCGGCAATATTCCATAGTGGGATGAATTCTGGGTGGCAATGAAGCTGTTTTGTTATGACTAATTCCATAACCTAAGCAAGGGAAGAAGCGAACCAGCTAGGGTGGTAATTGTTTGGATAACATGATGCATCTGGCTTACAGATGGAAAAAGAGGAGACAATAAAAAGGATAGGTCGGCAGCAGGCTCTGGTGAGCGAATCTTGAGCACAATTGGATGAATGCTATCTGGCGGAAGATGTAATGCTCGAATGTATCTAAGGCACACAGGGTGAGGATGTCCTTAGTTGTAATTTGAAGACAAAATGTAGAACCATGGCGAGTAATGGATTAGGAATTAGTCGCGGATGGGGGTACAGTAGGATTACAAGCAAAAAGGAGCACAGAGACCCCAGCCATTTGGGAAGGATTAGGAACCAGATGGACAGAAGTGTTCTTAATTGGGGAAAAGAACGATGGATAAAAATTACGGGACCTGCCCTGGAGAAGATACGAAGCTGAAAAACACAGGAACGGAAATTCGAGATAGTAAACATCATCAGACAGATCAGTTAGTGATGCTGACTGAACAGACGCACCATCACCAATTTTTATTAAAAAGTGTGGATGAATTTTATACTGAAGGTGTAGGAGATGCGTAAGATTTCTTAAAGATAATCTGAATGCAGAAAACAAAGAATAAGGATGTGGATTTAGGTTACTGATGCACAGAATCAATATTGCCATTAAGACCGCATATACAGATAAACCAATCCGGCAGTGAGTACCGGTGTGTGTGAATCGATATAATATATATATATATAGTGTGTGCAAATCCATGATGGATTGGTTTTTTTGAGAAACCGGTAAATTTAGCCCTGAGAATTGGTGTCTGCATATTCCTCTCTTTCAGATTGTCAGTTCGTCCTCTCCACGGAGAATCTCCTGTCTGTCGACGGCNGTCGACGGCTCCAGCCCACTTGCGATCGTCTGGTGTATCCGTTCACGGGGGACATCCTGCCGCACACACGAGCCAAGCATCTCACACTCTCACTTCAAAATATTGATCAATATTCGTTTGGAACTATACACAACATTATGCTGAACTAGGTCATCTAATTTGATTAGAATTGAATGTGTCTACTTAGTATCCGGAAGTAGCATGTGATATTATCGCATCAGTAACAGGATCACTGGTCAAAACGTTCATTAAGGTTGACACGATACTCGGAGGGAGCAACACTATGAGAGGTTTATGGTCAATCTCAGATCACCAGAAATAGGCAACTGATTAAGTGAATTCCCAATCCCTTGCACAAGTGAGCAACACATCAGATGAAGCTGACCAATACACACACAAGCCGTCTCAATGCTGATCTGGTTTACTGAAGGTTCGGCAATCAGACATCCGTTTCACAAGTTCCGCAGGTCAAATACAAGGGCAATATGTAATTTAAGAAAACTTCCCATCATGCTAAGCACAATCGAAGATGCCTTGGATTTTATTTAGCTTGAAATAGAAAGTTTTATTTCGACACCGCGAGTTGATGAAGTTCAATTACCTTTCTGAACACTCGGAAAACCAGATTGACTTCTTCGAAATGCGCGGTATATAATAAATGCGAATGTTTCATTTGTACATGTCTAAAATAATGACACTGTAAAGCTGGAAGTCTATCAAAATAACTTTGCTGCCAAGAGAGATTCCGACCTTTTGCTTGTAATTCTATGTTACTGGAGGCTTTTGGGAACGTGCCAATCAGAAGAATGTCACCAATCATTGGTTAGAATGACCCTTTCAAGCTTGCACATTAATCTTCCTCAACTTCATTTGATGCTATCGTTTATATTATGCGTCTGCTTTGGATAAGATTCTCCGGGCTGTCTACATTTTTTCATGAAGTCTGGTCAGATAAGTGATAACCAGAGCACCACTACTGTCAATTCTTTGCCGTGTCCTTGAATGTCTCCAACCAACCAGTTACAAGTTCATTTGGACCCCAACCTGAGAGACATCCACTTTATCTGATCTCTCTGTGTATTTCTTCATGCCTTGTTTCGAATTTCATCTGTTGACTCCCACGTGATTTCCTCAAACCGAGGACAGCAACAGCGGTGTGCTTCAGGGAGCCTTCTCAACACTTCTCCGTGTATAAAAAATCGAATTACCAACACTGATTGGTTGCAAGTATGCAGATGGTTTCGATATCGGATGTCCACACATCAATGCATTTTGCTCTATCCTCTGAAGGACTGCTTAGTTAACCTTTGTAAGTGGTCTACACTCCGTTTTCAGGCGCGCAACGTTCAAAAGTGAGTTGATATCTCTTTGAATTTTTAATTTGATTCTTTATAACCCTCGATTTTTCATCATTCGAAGCTGCTCACGCCTTGTGATCAACCTACATCTAATGCAACATATGGCAAATATTAGGCTATTATACTATTCTCTTATTGCCTGAGAATATTGAAAGTGTCTTTATAATATCTGGCAACCAGTGCTTTACACTTACATATGAAACTGCATTGTAACGTATTGACTTACGGGAACCACGACAGTTTCACCGGGGTGAAAAGACAGAGATACCACAATGTTTGTCCGCTCTCCTAAATCCGTCTAGATCCCGTGGCATTCCCCGTTGAGTTCATCGCTCACAAGCATTTTGATGCATGTAACCAGTTTATCAAACGTCTTCTGATTGACGCAGACCATTTTTTACACAGTGAAATCTTTAATGGGGCCTAAATTCCTGTACGCACTTTCAATTCAAAATCCTTCCCGCTCCCACACATCCACATAATATAACAAAACCCTTTATTAAGTGCGCATCTTGGTGAGCCGCATACCCAGTTATTGTTAACCTACCACCCAGGATTTTCACGTTAGCTTGACTACTTGTCTTTCATCGTTTTTTCTTTATCATACTACGTTATTGAAACACGAATGTTTTGGGATGACGCTGAAAATCCATCTAACCGGATGCGTTAGGCCTTCTCTTATTTGAATTCACTTGTAGCGGAAACTCAAACGTAACTGCTTAGCTCAGACAACTTTGGGAAACAGTTGTGCTCACTCACCCGGCCCACCACCTGGCACATTAGGCGGCAGGAAAGGACTGAAAATTCCAACGCGTATTTCACGGGGCTGTGAAATCATCGGGTTTGTGTGTTAAGGGAAAAGCATGGGAATGATCATCACATTAGCGATTGAGTAAATTCCTCACCCACCTCGACTACGTACGGAACCTATCACTGTGTGTTTGTCTGTATGTGAAAGATGCCAGACGAAAGGCTCGGAGAACACAACAACGAGCTGAATTACGCTAGTAGGCAGACAATCGAATACAAAGACATACAAACACACATACACACAAAATAGTGACATGTGTAAGTAGCGAAAAAAAGAAAAAATGAAAAATTACTAATCTAGTTCATAATTCTAGGTCCAAGTAACCGAGTGAGATGGCGAAGATGGTCGAGACAGGATAGTGTAAAGAGACTCGGAGTTCAGAGGAACCATCTGGTTCTGTACAAAGCGGGAAACTGCACGGCAACTGACATATTCGAAAAGCTGGGCAAAAAATAGGAGACAATTGTGATCGGTCGTGAGGGTTTTCTCCAGATGGTCACTGGTGAACAGGCATGATTAAAAAAAGAAAAACACGGCAGCTTTGTGTACGTGCGTGAAGCTGGTTTTTAGATCATGGTGTTCTAGTATACTAAAGGCTCGTCGGTCCAAATGGGTCTGCTTTTCGAATCCCAACGATGACCGAGCGATTCGGGAACTACTTCTGAAATAGTAGGAACCTCGGAAGACACATTGGCTCTTTGAGTCTGAGATGGCAAGGGCACTGCAACTGGTGGTGGCGGCCACATGTATAATATCCGTTGATACAGACAACGAATCCCGTACAGGAATGCAGCTTGAATAGCGTACTGGCCTGCAAGTGCCCCGAAACCCCGATAGAGACCGAGTACACCGAGAGGAGAATCCAGTGCACCTCGGAGTGCATCGGTGAAACCGTCATATGATGAGACGATCGGAACAACCACATCGCCTGTGTCCATATTGTCCACCAACGTTCGAGTACCTTGTACGCACAATCGAATTACCAGGGTTTCCAATGGATAGGTGACCACATCCGCAACCAGATTGGCAGTCATCGCAGTTACCAGGTCCGTGTAATATCGAGTATAGATTGTTTGTAATGCGGTTTCCTGACGTTGATGTGTCAGAGTCAGTCGGTCTGCCGGTGCCAAATCACGTTCGTGAGATTCGATTTCTCCCTTAGACGTTGTTCAACATTAAAAATGTAAACGAAATAGGAAGAGAAGAGCATCAAAACGAGATGAAAAGCTTGATGAGGTGAGGAACCACAAATAATGGACGTGTTTTCTCACATTGTATCAAGTTTGGGATAAGGCAACCTAATTAATAAGCACTGAGCAAAAACAGAACTCCATGATTTATATCACTTTTTGGGGATAAATAGTCATTTCAGATAGAAAAAATCACATTTCAGTTCGCAAAACATCTTTTTAGCTTTATCCATCTCGTCAACACAATAAAACGTGTATGCAATTTTCCAAGAAAGGTGTGATTGATACAAGCTTTATTAAACATTGTAATAAAAACACAACAACGAACAAGCTCGTTTGCAGTGATTCAGCTACGAGCTAATAAAGCACTTTTATATCAAACTATTTAGTTGCAAGTATTAAGTAATGCAAACTTAGATTTCATGGTTCAGCTATCGTAAAACTGTCCAGATTGCTGCAAGTGCACGAACCGGAAATCTATTATGACCCATTCTGTGTGTAGTTCAGTCTGCTTAATAAACTCTTTCAATGATGTGTCGGGCTCTTTCTCCAATAAACGTAACACTGTTTGACTTCGAACTGGGAGAAAGTTCTCAATTAAAACAATTACAATCACATATATCACGACTGACTCCTAGCCAACTATGACACTGCGTCATTGTTCATAAATTTCCCGGCTGTGAAAGTCGTAAACTTAATATATAGATAAACCAGTGGAACAGGTTTTCTCGCAAGCGATTTGAAAACTTTGCTGAATTTGTGCTCGAGGTGTCCAGTATTATCTCCAAAAGAAATATCTCAACAAATTGGTGGCGTAACTACGAGGCCCAATTGGGCCTATTCTGGTTGATATATTGTTGCCAAATTAGAAAACAAAACTGGAAGAGAAACCGAATTCAACCCCAATATACAGACAGCATTTTGACGGTACATTAGTTATGACGCGCAAAGAAATAGACGCTAAGACATTATTACACAAGTTGAACTCTAAGCATCCCAAAAATAACTCACCTGAGAATGAAAGCCGAATTTCAGACGGGAAACTACCTATGTATCGCAAGCCTACATGAACACGACAGTATTCCTGCTTTGAGACGTATTGCTCAGTAGAACACAAGCATGGTCTGGTTCAGATTATAGTTCACAAACTGCGCCCATTAAGTAGACCGTAAGTCTTACCAAACGCGTTGTACACAGACTAATCCATGTTTTTTGGATAACCCTTGTCTTCTCAAGTTCATTCAGATGCACCAAAATCCGGTCAACCTCAGACCTATTTGCCTAATCGTAAGGAAGAAGCACGTCAATACCTACCTGGCTTGCAAAGGCGAAAAACAAGCAGAATGAAAAGTGCGGCTAGATTAATGATTTCCCAGGTGCGGTTTTNCAGCGAGAAGGTCTACCACCAAAGCTGGGTGACGGTGACGGAGTTCGAAAATCGGACGTTATGGATTATAGCATCTCGGAGACGACAACCGAAACCGCTTAACCACCGACAGCCAGCAAAAACCATGATTTACGTCAGTGTACGTGACCCAGTTGAAAAGTATTCTNTTCTATCTTTCCTTTTCGACCGCGACTGCATTCATCGACTTCATCGTGGCAAAAAACATGGAAAAGAGCAAACAAAGGTGGTCATGCGAAAGTAAACATGATACAATGGCAAAAACGTGGAGTGTGGGACGTTTAGATGAATACGGCGCCTGACATCCTGGACGACAACAAACCCATCTGACGCATGCATTGGCGGTGGCGGTGGCTTTTTATCACACGCCGGAGATGCCAATAACATTAGGATGAAAAAACCCGTGTGAATCAACAGAAACGGCGTAATTTAAATTACTTTGATCATAATGCAATACTACCGCAATACTTCATAAGTGAGTTCAGATTATGTAAACAAATTAGACCAGAATCGGCTATCAGCGGAATCTATCATGTGCACCTCGACCCATCTAAAGCCGTGCACGTAAACACACTAGCCACCGCTGAGGCGACAGGCATTCAGCTCTTCGCACCATAACTATGTGCACAAAAGCGACTGGTCCAAGCAATCCACTTACCCTGGCCCCAGATTGATCATCAACATCACCAGCACCACCAATACTCCAATCACAATCAGTTTCACCCGAACGCAGAGACATAGGGCTTACCCCTCCCCTCCCCTCTCACCATCCCGAATGACCCTTCGACCCAGCGTGAAAATGTGGCCCCACCAACAACAAACCCTTTATATGATCTGTACAGGCACGATTATGAATCATTCGAAAACAATCGTTCACCTTCGGACTTGTGTTCTGGTGTTACAATGGGATTATTCTGTAATTTAAAATTATGTTAGTCCAGCATCACTCACTCAATCGAACCCGTTAAATCGGGATCTGTCGTAAAGTTTTAGGATAGTTTTTTTCTCGTCGTGTACATTATCGAGCCGTTTTTTGGAATGTCCCTTGATCTTGTGCACCTACTTGTTAAAAAAAACAGGAACAATAAAAGATGTTATCATTGAGAGCTATCCAGCCTCAGTTTAGTTTTTTAATGTCTTTTTTTAATTTTCTCTTTTGTGTGTTGAGTATGGAAATGCAGAGTCAACTTTTCGAAAGGAGCTGCCTTAGAAACACACAAATGTGGATGATGGAAGACGGTGGCCCGGTGCGAACTCAAGACTTCCAGGTCACCATTTTAATTAGCCCAACCGCTTGACTTTGATGTGAGTTAATGAAATATCCGTTGTAAAGAGCAGTTACGAGTGAATAATTGAAAGAAAACCCCGTCATTTTGCTCTCTGTTATCTATCCATTGGTTTTGCTATTATGATCCAATCTCCGGTGGGAATAGACCAAGCATTGGTGAACCGCGCTAGCAGTTCATGCTCCGCGGTTTATGAGAAATAAAACGCGTATGCACACGGTTTACTTGCTCATCCATTTGATGAGTCACCAATTGGAAACCCCACAAGAAATACTGTAGTGCATCGTTGACCTGGAACTTCTGTAAAACACGAATTGGTTAACTTTCACTTCCCATCTGGTATAAATATGGTGTACACAATTTAAAGTTTCAGTAAAGTCGAGGAAAGTGTTTCCCCACCAAATTGTCCGATAAGAATTGATTAGACTAGGGGCGATAACTGGATCGGTTAACCGCTGACAGTTCACGTAGGGGTGTCGACTACAATCCCTGAATTCTGAATAACGTCCAACCGACGACAACGGGCGGGGCCTTCAAATTTCGACCGTCCTACATTTTTTTGTGCTCAACTTTTACGTCACACATTGGATTTAATCG